GAGAGAGCGCGTGTCTTGAAAACCATGCCCGCTGCCTACCCGCCAGCGGCCCGAGCTGACTCCGTGGGCTTCCTGCCTCCTCCAAGGGGGAGGGGTGGCGGGCCGCAGCTCGGAGCCGGCTGGAGCCCCACCCAGCGAGAGCCTCGCCCCGCACACTCCCTCTGACCGTCCTCACCACAGGGGGCGTCTGGCCAGGATTCCCTCCAGCCTCACCTCCGACTCCTCCCTCCACCCCCCGCGCCTCCTCTCGGTTTTCCGTTCCTTGAATGCAGCGAGGTGTTTTCAACTCAGGACCTTCACTGTTTCCGCGGCCTGGATCCTCCTGGCCCACAAGCCGGTGCTCTGAGGACCCTCTTCCGGCCTCAAGGGACGATAGGGTGCAAAGGAGGAAAATAAGCCTCACTGTCTACAGAAGGGGTGAGCGGGCCTCTGACGAGGACCAGAAGTGGAGCCCAGCAGCGTCCTTAAGGAGAGGAGGACCGTGGGGACTTCCGGAGGGAGAGTCCTGGGAGAAAGGAGCCCACAGGACTCTAAGATCAGGGTGTGGATGAGATGGAGTATTAATGTCCCGTTATTTACTCGTAATCCTGGCTACTCCAAGCTCTTAACTAAAAGCTGAACATTAGAGGCAACTCCTGATTATTCAAGGGAATAGCACGTGTGCTATGGTTTGTCTGAGGCAAGTTATGCTTTCTAGACTAATGGCAAGTGGTGACATTAACAAGGAAGTGTGACTAGGAGTCAGGACACCTGGATTCTAGTCCCAGCTCTACCTTAATTTATATGTGTATGTGCATTTTTAAATTAACAAGTAAAAATTATATATATTGGCCGGGCTTGGTGGCTCAGCCTGTAATCCCAGCACATTGAGAGACCAAGGTGAGAGGATTGCCTTAGCCTACGGGTTCCAGACTCACCTGGGCAACTTGGTGAGATCTCATCTACTATAAATCAAAAATTCGCTGAGTGTGGTAGCGCGTGCCTGTAGTTCCAGCTACTTGGAAGGCTGAGGTGGAAGGATCGCCGGAGCCCAGCAGGTCGAGGCTGCAGTGACCGCTCCTCCAGTCTGGGTGACAGAGTGAGACTCCAGCTCAAAAAAAAATATTATATATATTGTGTACAACATGTTTTGAAATATGTATATATTGAACAATGACTAAATCAAGCTAATGAACATATGTATTACCTCACGTATTTCTGTGTGGTGAGAACACTTAAAATCTCTCTTGAAAATAAGCTGGGCATGGTAGCACATGCCTGAAATTTCAGCTACCTGGAAGCCTGAAGCGGAAAGATCGCCTGAGCCCAGCAGGTGGAGGCTGCGGTGGCCATGAGCACACCACTGCACTCCAGCCTGGGCAACAGAGTGAGACTCCAACTCAAAAAAAAAAAAAAAAAAGTTTTTTTGAATTGCGGTCGTGGTGACTCATGCCTGTAATCCAAGCACTTTGGGAGACTGAGGTTAGAGGATTGCTTGAGCCCAGGGGTTCCAGACCAGCCTGGGCAACATGGGAAGACCTCATCTCTCTACAATAAATCCAAAAATATTAGCCGGGTGTGGTTGCACAACCAGTGGTTCCAGCCACTTGAAAGGCTGAGGTGGAAGAATCCCCTGAGCCCAGCAGGCTGTGGTGGCTGTTAGCATGCCACTGCATTCCAGCCTGGGCGACAGAGTGAGACTCTGACACAAAAATAAATAGATAAAATTGCCCAGATTGGAGTGCAGTGGCATGATCTTGGCTCACAGCAGCCTTAGCCTCCTGGGCTCAGGTGATCCTCCTGCTTCAGTTCGCCGAATAGCTAGGATTACAAGCATGAGCCACTGTACCTGATTATTTTGTTTTTGTATAGATGAGGTCGCTCTATGTTGCCCAGGCTGGTCTTGAACTGAACGCAAGCAATCCATCCACAGGCATGAGCCACCACATGTGTGATTTTTGACAAGTCATTTTCCCTCTCCAGAGCTTGATAAACTAGGAGAAAAAGGGAAGTTAAACCAGCAGATGATAGCAGAAGTTTCCTTCCAGTTCTTTTTTTTTTTTTTTTTCTTCTTTTCCTGAGATGGAGTCTCATTCTGTCACCCAGGCTGGAGTGCAGTGGCACTCTCATGGTCACCGCAGCGGGTTTAGGCAATCCTTCTGCCTCAGCCTTCCAAGTACCGGGAACTACAGGTGTGTGCTACCATGCCCAGCTAATTTTTTGATTTATTGTAGAGACAGGGTCTCGCCAAGTTGCCGAGGCTGGTCTCGAATCCCTGGGCTCAGGCAATCCTCTCGCCTTAGCCTCTCAAAGTGCAGGGATTACAGGCTTGAGCCATCACACCCAGCTAGGAAATATCTAAACAAGAACAACTTTGCTCCTCTTAGAGCGCTGCATCAATCTAGGAAGTCTGTATCTTTTCATTACTTGAGCAGGATGCAGAGATGAGCAGGAAAAAGAGACTTGAGAAGTTGAAAAAAGCCCAGCCAGGCAGTATAGTACAGTGTGAAGCACGTGGGCTCAGGTATCCAAACCTCTGTTCAGCTACTATCAGTGTAACCTTGTGAAAGTTATTCAGCTTCTATCGGCTTTGAGTTTCTTGAGAATTATGAGTAAAATGAAAATGCTTGCCATATTATAGTTGCCAAATAAATGTTAGATCTTGTTCCCATCTTTACCCCTGTTGCCGGGTGGACTGTGTTATGACGCTCTGTGGGTTCTTTTAACCAGCCACAGAAAAGCATTTTACAGTGTGTTCAAGTATAGTTTTCAGACAGAATTCACTGGGGGGAATGGGGCATGCCCAACAGACATAGGTGTCTAAGAACATGCTTTTAGGCTGGACACGATGGTTCAACCTGTAATCCCAACACTTTGGGAAGCTGAGATGAGAGGGTTGCCTGAGCCCAGGGGTTCAAGACCAGCCTGGGCAACTTGGTAAAACCTCATCTCTACAATAAATCACAAAAACTCACCGGGCATGGTGGCGTGCATCTATAGCGCCAGCTACTTGGAAGGCTGAGGTGGAAGGATCACCTAAGCTCAACTGGTTGAGGCTGCGGAGGCCGTGAGTGTGCCACTGCACTCCAGCCTGGGAAAGGAGTTAGATTCCAACTCAAAAAAAAGTGTTTTTGCCTTTGACAGTGTGCCACTGCACTCCAGCCTGGGAAAGGAGTAAGATTCCAACTCAAAAAAAAGTGTTTTTGCCTTTGACAAGAAGCTTCACATACTTTTACTTTTCTTTTTGAGTTGGAGTCTCACTCTGTCGCCCAGACTGGAGTGCAGTGGCCGCTCCCGGCCACCGCAGCCTCGACTTGCTGGGCTCCGGCGATCCTTCCTCCTAGCCTTCCGAGTAGCCAGAATTACAGGCATGCGCTACCACGCCCGGCTGATTTTTTAATTTATTGTAGAGATGAGGTCTTGCTGCCCAGGCGGGTCTCGAACCCACAGGCTCAGGCAATCCACTCACCTCAGCCTCCCAAAGGCGTGGGATTATAGGCTGAGCCACCGAGCCCGGCACTACTTTTACATTATTATTATGTCATTCATTGACTAAAATAGTAGGCTGCAGGTATCTGGTTTTGATCACCATCTGCCAACCTTTGATGAGCCAAGGGGGTGTCACACAGGCTGGAGTGCAGTGGCACAATCTCAGCTACCACAGCCTTGACCTACTGAGCTCAGGTGATCCTTCTGCCTCAGTCTTCCAAGTAACTGGAACTACAAGAGGGTACCAACACACCTGGCTAATTTTTAAAAATTTATTGTACAAAGCCGGGCTCGGTGGCTCAGCCTGTAATCCCACGCCTTGGGAGGCTGAGGTGAGTGGACTGCCTGAGCCTGTGGGTTTGAAACCCACCTGGGCAACGTGGCGAGACCTCATCTCTACAATAAATCAAAAAATCAGCCAGGCATGATAGCGTGTGCCTGTAATTCCGGCTACTTGGAAGGCTGAGGCGAAAGAATCGTGGGAGCCCAGCAGGTCGAGGCTGCGATAGCTGGGAGCGGCCACTGCACTCCAGTCTGGGCGACAGAGTAAGACTCTAACTCAAAACAAAACAAAAAAATTTATTGTACAGACAAGGTCTTGCCAAGTTGCCCAGGCTGGTCTCGAACATATGGGCTCAGGCAATCCTCTTGCCTTGACTTCCCAAAGTGCCGGGATTACAGGTGTGAGCCACCATGTCTGGTCAATCTCTCTACCTTTTTTTTTTTGAGTTGGAGTCTCACTCTTGTCACCAGGCTGGAGTGCAGTGGCGTGCTCATGGCCACCAAAGCCTCTACCTGCTGGCTTAGGCAATCCTTCTGCCTCAGGCTTCCAAGTAGCTGGAACTACAGATGCATACCACCACGCCCAGCTAGTTTTTTGTGTGTGATTTATTGTAGAGATGAGGTTGCACCAAGTTGCCCAGACTGGTCTCGAACCCCCGGGCTCTAGAGATATCTGACTGCTCACCCTATTGTATTTATTTTTTATTTTTATTTATTTATTTTGAGTTGGAGTCTCAATCTGTCACCCAGGCTGGTATGCAATGGCATGCTCCTGGCCACTGCAGTCTGAACAGCTGGGCTGAGGCGATCCTCCCGCCTCAACCTTCCAAATAACTGGAACTACAGGCGTGCGCTACCACGCCTGGCCTAATTTTTTGATTTATTGTAGAGCTGAGGTTTCGCCAAGTTGTCCAGGCTGGTGTGGAACCCGGGGGCTCAGGCAGTCCTCTCGCGTTGGCCTCCCAAACGCTGGGATTATGGGCGTGAGCCACCATGCTCCCAACCTGCTCACCCTATTTTAAAACTACTGATAAGAGCCAAGTGGGGTGGCTCAAACCTGTAATCCCAGCACTTTGGGAGGCTGAGGTGAGATGACTGCCTGAGCTCATGGGTTTGAGAACAGCCTGGACAATTTGTCGAGATCTCATCTCTACAATAAATCAAAAAATTAGCCGGGAATGGCAGTGCGCCCCTGTAGTTCCAGCTACTTGGAAGGCTGAGGCAGAAGAATTGCCTGAGCCCAATGCTGGGTGGCTGTGAGCATGCCACTGCACTCCAGCCTGGGCGACACAGTGGGACTCCAAATCAAAAAAAAAAACAATAAAACTACTGATGAGAATCTTATCTATGTCAAATCTACACTGAATAACCTGCCTCACCCTTAACCCATTCAAATAGAGAATTAATATCAATTTTAATTCTGGGTCCACATCCCAAACTTCCCTACTTTGCTCACCCAGCTACCCTTTATCTGTGATACTACTGGGGAGAAAAGTAGACAGAAACCCTCCCTCTGTCAGTATAGCTTTGCTATTTTATTGGAAGTGAATTCCTCAACCTGGATCCTCTAGGCCCACAACCCTCAGGATTCTCATAGCACCAGGCTGTGGGCCAAGAGGATCCTAGGGTACAGACACAACTCTGACATTAGACCAGAGCAAAAAAACAACAACGTAATTTTGGTATTATTATTATAGGGTGAGCAGGCAATCCTCTTGCCTCAGCCTTTCAAAGTGCAGGACTTACAGGCTTGAACCACCGCACCTGCCTATTTTTTCTTTTTTGAGTTGAGGTCTCACTCTGTCACCAAAGCCAGAGTGCAGGTGGCACGATCAGCCCGCACCACAGCCTCAACCTCCTGGGCTCAGGCCAGCCTTCCACTTCAGCCTCCCCAGTTGCTGAGCCTACAGGCATGCACCACCATGTCTGGCTAGTTTTTAAATTTTTTTGTAGAGACGAGGTCTCACTATGCTACCCAGGCTACAGTTTTTTTGTTTTTTTGGTTTTTTTTTGAGTTGTAGTCTCACTCTGCAGCCTCGGCCTGCTGGGCTCTGGCGATCCTTCCACCTCAGCCTTCCAAATAGCTGGAACTACAGGCGCACGCTACCACACCCGGCTAATTTTTTTTGATTTATTGTAGA